GCAAGTCACACTCTCTTAGCCTCAGAAGATGGCAATAGCAAACCCCTTATGAAGATACTTGCCAAGAAAGTCCCATGATAGTTTCGCCTTAGGGTCACCATAAATCAGAAACAACTTGAAGGAACACAACAACAAGAAGAAGAGTGTATTTTCACCAGGCTTCCTCTTCTGCCCTGTGTACAGAAAAATAAGGTATCAGAATGTGCTTTCATGGTCAATCAGAGGCTGAAGATGAGATGGGGGTCCCAAGCACTGTCCTGTGGTAGTGTTGCAAGTACACTGATAGTCCTTTAAAGTGATAATTCTTTCTTTTTTGCCAGCAACAAGACTGTATCCAGAGAGTGTGCGAAGGCTCCCTCTCTTACCATTCAGCCATTGACTGGCCATGAAAATGCACTCTGATGCCTCAAGCTGAGGTTACACATGAAGGAATCATTGTGCAAGGAAATATTGGATACCTATTTCCACAATGATCAAAGCAACATATGTGCTGCTGTAACCAAAGCACTATATGTGTCAGGAGGTTATGGCATCATGAGTCGCCAACAGGATTCTGGCCTTTGTATTTTATAACTGACAGTTTAGGTAGAGCTTCCTTTTTTTCCCCCCAGAGTATCCAAGGAAGGCAGAAGCCAAAACTTTGTAAAGTAATGTTTAAGTTTATCTGTTTTGCTAGTCACTGTGATGTGTACACTGTGATGTGTATGCACATACACATTCATATCACACTACAAAAGGAAACTTACAGACATGTTATGATAAAATTGTTAGCAGTCTCAGTAGAACAGACGTGGGCAAGTTCCAGGAGTCTGGAGGCCAATTTTACCTCCTGGAGCTGAACTTTGGGCTGTACTCCTTTCCCAAAATCCAATTAATTTATACTCCTCCCCCCTGCAAAAAAGCCCCTTTGTTTTAGAGAATGGCTGCTTTAAAAATTCCAGGAGTGGTGACTCTTCATTTATGGTGTGAGGACCCAATGCTTCCTTGAGGGCTGCATGTGGCCTCAGGACCATGTAAGTCCCTCCTCTAAAATATGAGGTAGGCATTCACATGTATATCCATCATGCAGTGGTGGTTGATGGCTTCCATGTCAATGAGGCAATAAATACCCTGTGGGTTTTTATTTGAACCTTAAAATAGATGCCCGGGGGTCCCCAAAATAGGTTCAGTAGATGAGATAGCTTTTTTAAAATCCTGACCCAAACTGAACTTCCCACACCATTGGCATGGAAGCCTCTAGCCACTAGTGCTCCTGTGTTCAAACACACTCACTAATCCTGTGACTGATAATCAGAAAATGGCAGTCTTGAAAAGCAACCATCCCCAAGAAACACCCTCCAGCATAACCATTTCAAATTAGGGAACGGATCAGATCATTTCCTGATCAAACAACACAGCTCCTGTTGTTCTACAGTTTTTTCCCCATATGGCAGTCTTGAAGGTAGTTGAAAATCACATGGGAAAAGTGGTATGTTGGTAAACCCAGGAGTGTAAGCACTAGTCACAACAACAGGTACACACTAAAAATAAAAATGAATTGGGGTAAGGAAATGCATGCTCTAAAAGATGCCTGCCCTGGCATAAAAAGTATGTATACATGTCAGAGGAACTACAAAATGGCTAAGTCTTCCTTGGCCCATGTTGAAAAGGTGGCATCTTCTGAAATGTATGAAGTAGAACCAATTTCCTTGCCTTCCCAGTGGAAGAGCAGTGAAACAAAGAAATGAAAGCATGGGATGGATGGTACACACATACACAGCTGGGGGCAGATGCCCAACCTGAGTTTACTTTTTGCAGTTTCACAAACTTTCCACTAGATGGAAATAAACCTACATGTGCCTTCATTATGATAATAAATGTCACAAAACTATGTTTGCTAACTTTCTTTTCACAAAAGACTACTGTGCTTTTTTATTTATTGTCTTGTGTTCTCTCTATTCATTTAGGTGGCTGGATTATTACGAAAGGCGAGTATACAATTTTGCTCCAACATTGTGAAGGAGCACAACAGGTCTTCTACTCCTAGGATGTGATCCAACCACAGTTAAGTACCATTTAATTTTGTGTTGTTGCATAACTTGTTTTGGATTTATGTCAGCCTTAATGTGAACCTATCATGGGGTTTCTTGGCAAGATTTATACAGAGAAGTTTTGCCATTGCCTTCCCCTGAGGCTGAGACATTGGGACTTGCCCAAGGACATCCAGTGGGTTTCACGGCAAGCTAGGAATCAAACCTTGGTCTCAAGAGTCATAGTCCAACACTCAAACCACTATGCCACATTGGCTTATTTAATTTAGAAACATGAAAAGAGCCATGCTGGGTCCACCCAAAGGCTCTAGTCCGCCATTTTGTTCTTTTGGTGGTCAACCACATGCCTCTGGGAACCACACACAAACATGATGCAGAGGAAATTATTCTGCTTCACTGATTTTGTCCAAAAAATACAAAACATAAATGCCTAATTCCAATTGTTAATCTCAAGTAGACTAGCACCATTAAATAAATGGGAATTTATTAATTAGCACTTAATCAGCATTACTCTATCTGGAACTAATAATGGGATCTGAGCCTATATCATCACCAGTTAAAAAAATTAAAAGCAAGTGTTCACAATTCAGTTCGCAGCTGGACAGGATAGGAAATTGATTGAATAAAGAAGTATATCATGAGCAGGTACTTAAAAACACATCACAATTGGCACCATCCTGGAAGGAAGATTATGGTAGAGAGAACTTAATTTCTGAATGGAGCAAGTGGCATGGTCTCCTGTGATAACCATAGTGTTCCCACAGGCTTCTATTGGGAAAGTGATCCCAGGTAACCCATAATTATTCCAGGACTGATATGTCAGCAACAAGGCTTTGAACTTAGTTGGTAACTAACAGGTAGCTGTTGCAGTTCCTTCAACACTGTCTATTTTAGTTTTAGCACTGTTCATAATAGATTAGCATGGTGGTACCATAACCCACTTGATCTCAGAAGTCAAGCAGGGTGTAGCCTTTATTGAAATTTACATCAGTCTGGGCCTTTTAAAAATTCATTCCATCCTGACTGTAAAGAAATTGCAGATTTTGATACCTGTTTACCAAAATCAAACTGAAACGACATTCTTACCTGGTACTGAAGTGAAAATCCCCCAAAGATGGGAGACTGCCCATCTTTTTCTGGTGTCCTTCCCCTGTGCTTCATTGCTGAAGCAAGAGCCTGGGATATGTCCTATGGAAGAGGGGAGGGAAGCAGCAAATCAATAGCCCCTTTAGCAGAAAGCAGCTGAGTACTTCGCTGCAATCATCAAATTTACAGCAAGTTTACAGGCAGCTTATTAACTACCCAAATCAAGCGCATGCTTTAAATAATGCATAGCAATCTGATCAAGATGAGCAGGTTTGTGAAAAGACGCCATTTGTTTGCTTCATAGAAAAATTGGGTTCCATCAACTTAATGTCTTTTTCCCCATCTAAATTTAATATGTGTTTAATTTCATAGTGAATGGTGATCAATGTGTCCAAATGACTTTTAAATGTTTAGATATGACTCTCTTAGTGTTCGTTCATTCACTCATTTGTTCGCTCTTCCTTAGTTTCTTTTTTCCTAACTCATCAGAACTTCAATGAAGCATGTGATGTGTGAAAAGCCACAGTTTGACTCTTAATACAAAATAATAAGAATTAGCAAAATGTCAAATTTATGGATTATGGAAAATGGGGGAGAAAGAGGGAGGAGGGAGGAATTCATTTGCGCAGTAAGTATCCATTATTTTTTGCCTCACTGGACCTTAACAAAAATCCCCTACCAAATACTCTAACCCTTATATATCATTTCCACTTTACTATGAATTTTCTTTATTGAATGACTTTGTGTCTCAATAAATAGTTTAGATTTTTTTTAATATCGTTACGTCAAGAGATAAACACTTTGGTACATATTGGAGAGTAATAAATTGTGTTGAACATTGATAAACTAACGCAATTACCAGCAAGGTCACAGAGTCAGCTAATTTAGAAATATCAGTACTAAGATTTTTGAGTGGTCCCCAGGAGAACTGAGTCCACTTTATTAAAGCAGGAGGGTGAGGAGAAAATGGTACATTAGGATTGATCTTTTGATCTAATTGTGGAACTCGCCCATGCCTTGTTTGGCCAAAAGTGCTTTGTAAGCAAAGAGGGGCTGCATCTCAGCTAATTGAGGAACATCCCTTACAAGCTAAAGGAATTGTGGGAAATAAAAAACAAATTGTGGCATGCACAGTTTTGTTTTATAGGGCTAGTTATCAATGGAAGGTGTAAATACAGAACAATTAATCTTCCTTTTGCTACCCAGAGAAAGTGTCCAAGTGTCAACACTCCCAAAACCATCTTTCAATAATATCATTTCTCTTAAAAATTAAGAAGGAATTTCCAAATGCCTAAAAAGACTGTAGATCACAAACTGGTTATTCCAGATCAATTCCACTGATCCTGAAAGCTGAGAATATTATTGCATTTTTTAACAGTGAGTCTCTTTTTTTTTTTTTTTTTACTATCCAGGTGCCATGTGGTTAGCATACTCTCTTTAATAGATTATTATCATTTCACTATTAATTGACATAATGCTATTTATTTTCCCCTCCCAGTTGTATGATGGATGAGTGATCAACTGTTACCAAATTGAATCACATGAGAAAAAGGTCCAGTCTTTAATCAACAAGATAGTAAAACATTGATTCATTAATACAGATTTCATACTATTGGCCAAGCTCCCCTGTTTTGGGCAGATTGTTCATGCACAACAATTTTTGTGATTGTCTCACACTACATAACTCTGTTCAGTCCAATGCCATTGCTGAGCCCTCTTCAGATCTTCCCATTCCATGTATAAATATATAACTTCCTTCTGGGTGCTTGATGATGGTGGGGGTGCACATACACATTCGAGTCCTGTTCCACATTGAGTTCTACATGTGTCCAGGTGGATGCCTGAACAAGGGTTTGCTCTTCTCTGTATAGGAAAAAAAAGGAGGGGGGATAGCTACAGTCTGCCCAAAACCAGAGCATGGCACCATCATTTTTACCGTAGCTATATTTGTAAAAGAAGACATTTGGTGATTTTTTTGTGGGGGTTTTGGGCTATGTGGTCATGTTCTGGAAGATTTTATTCCTGACATTTTGCCAGGCTCTGTGGCTGGCATCTTCAGACAATGCTGGCATGGAAGTGAGTGGGACATATATATACTGTGTGGCCCTTGGTTGAGAGAAGGTGATTTACATGTTAATCTTTGTGTTTTCTGTTGTTGAATGGCAAGGCCTCAGGGTGGGAGGAAATGCAAGGAGAATTTGTGTCTATTTAATTAGTGATCCATTGTATGCTGGAAAAACCCCTAAACAAAGTCTGGCTGCCAGTCCTTGTGCCAACACCACAATCAAGACCCAGCATGTGCAAATGAAAACCACCCAGGGTCAGAGGTTTTTCCAGCAGACAATGCTGGATCCTTAATTAAATCAACACAATGCCTCCTTGCATACCATCCCACCCTGACGCCTTGCCATTCAACAACAGAACAACACACAGATTAACATGTAAATCACTCCTCTCAACCAATGGTCACACAGAGTATGTGTGTGTGTGTGTGTGTGTGTGTGTGTGTGTGTGTGTGTGTGTGTGTATATATATATATATTCCACTCACTTCAATGCCAGCATTCTCTGAGGATGCCAGCCACAGATGCTGGTGAAACATCAGGAATAAAATCTTCCAGAACATGACCACATAGCCCGAAAAACCCACACAAAAAACCAAACAAACCATGGATGCCAGCCATGAAAGCCTTCAACTTTAACATAAGCCATTTGTTCTTTCCTTTAGCAACAAGCAAATTAAGAGCCATCACTAGGACAAATGACAGGCTGCTTCTATTGCACAAATAGCCACTCACTGATGACCAGGCAGATTCAGTAGGGTAGAGAGTGCAGGGTTGGCTTTGGGTTTCTTCCAGTGCCCTGCTTGAAGGGAGCACAAGGAAGTGAAAAATCATGAGACTGTGCCCAGTTTGACAAGAGTAATTCTATGGCCACAGAAAGAAAGCTTAAGGAGAAAGAAATGAAAATCTTACACAGAAAGACTTAAATACATAACTGTTGTAGTGTCACTATGGCAAGGAATCTGTTCCAGCTATGAATCTGAACTCAAAAGGGGCTATTCAAGCTGATGGTCCCTGTCCACAAATAGGTCCATGACCTTGGATAGGTCTTTAAAAGTTTAGACAGCTTAGACTTCCATGGTTAAGTGTGGTCCTAGACTGTTAGAAGTTAAAGCACAAGTGCTGCAGCATTAGATCCCAGGGGGTGGGGGAGATAAACAGATTGATAGCCCCTGGCATCTTCCAACTTAGCTTTTCTATACCTGTGTGTGCTTAAGTTGTATTTCCTCCTTTTCGTGAAATGCCTTCCTGTTTCTTTTTAACTCAGCTAGATGAAGCACATCATGTTCCATAATAATGACTGCTTGAGGAAAAGGAGGTGCATGAAACACTCCATAATAACTTCAAGTGACCTGCACTCACGAAAGACAACTTTATGGACTTCTGTAACCAAGCTACGGACTCTGCACAATATTTGAATGCATTTCCAGAAGCAATAAGTGCATGTTTTTCTTTTTACATTACAGCAAGCATCTGGAATATTTACTTTTGTTTTGTAGCCATAAGCTCACAGTGCTACCAGCTGTATTCTGCTTCCATAGATATGAAATACAAAGGCAGCATGTAGCCTTTGGCCTGTTTTCAAAAGTTCTCCACAAGCATCAGTCCCTTCCCTAGCAGCCATCTGGGCAGGAAGAAAGAGAGAGGAAGATAAATGGAGTACTGGACTGAGATAGAGACAGAGAGAAGAGGTTACCCAACCATTTTTGGCTGTAGATCTGCATGCTGCTGCTGCTGCTGCAGGCCCTGATAGACTACTCCCAATGGAATACAGCTAAAGGGTTGTTTACTCCTACCCTAGAAGGACCCTATGCCTAGATGTTGCAAGTGCTGGGATGGGAGGAAAAGCTGCCTCACCTAGGCCTAGTTATGGTTGTTGTTGCTGCATGCTTTCAAGTCATTTCTGACTTATGGTGACCCTGAGGCAAACCTATCATGGGTTTTTCTTGGCAAGTTTTGTCAAAGGAGTTTTTCCATTGCCTTCTCTTGAACCTGAGAGCATGTGACTTGCCCAACGTCACCCTGTGGGTTTCATGGCCGAGCAGGAAGTAAAAATATTGTTAAAAATCCACAAAATACAAATGTTAAAGCACAATGAAACAATCAGG